AGCATATTAAAAAGCAGAGACATTACTTTGCCAACAAAGGTCCATCTAGTCAAGGCTATGGTTTTTCCAGTAGTCATGTATGGATGTGAGAGTTGGACTATAAAGATGGCTGAGCACCAAAGAATTGATGCTTTTGAACTGTGATGTTGGAGAAAACTCTTGATAGTCCCTTGGACTGCAAAGAGATCCAACCAGTCCATCCTAAAGATTATTCCTTGAGTGTTCATTGGAAGGACTAATGTTGAAGCTGAAATTTCAGTATTTTGGCCACCTGATGTGAAGAACTGACTCATTTGAAAAGACCCCAATGCTGGGTAAGATTGAAGACAGGAAGAGAAGGGGACAACAGAGAATGAGATGGTTGGATGGCATCACCAACTCAATGGAGATGAGTTTGAGTAAACTCCGGGAGTTGGCGATGGACAGGAAGGCCTGGTGTGCTGCAAAGTTCATGGGGTCACAAAGAGTTGGACACAACTGAGCAACTGAATTGAACTGAAGGAGATGGGAATTAATTACCTGTAAATACAGGTTTATTGAAGTAAAAATAACAGAGAAAAACACATCCCAAGATTTAATACATAGTCATACAAATTTGAAAAAAAAATTAAGTTAAATTTTTCATAATTATGAACTTACATTTTGGGGTTTTATCTACATTTTGGAATAATGCTGGATAAATACATAAATTTAAGTATTAAATCACAAAAATAAAATATATATATATATATTCTAATATATTTATTTTATATCTCTTTTGCAAGAAGCTAGGAAGAAAAGGTAGAAAGAGAGAGAGGAATTTGCCTTTCTTCAGTTTTTCATATGTGTTACTACTTCTATGCCCTATAGTACTCTCCAATTGTAAATTCCTGCTGGCTTTCTTAGGATCAATATGTAACAGAAGTCCAAATCAAATCTGAATTAAGATCAAATCCTCTTTCAGTTCTTATGTCTACACATTGCCAAATCCCCCAAAACAATAGAGATCATCTCTCCAAAGTGGTAACTCCTCAACCACCAACCAGATCAAGTTCTGCTTTTTACCACTGCATCCACACGTTGATTCAACAAATACACATTGAATACCTATCATATATCAAGGGCTGTGCTGCACAGGGTATACAAAAATATATAAAATGCTCTTACTGACCCTAAAGAGCTCAGAATAAATAAGGGAGAAACCAGCAGTTAAACTAATCAGATGGATACAATATCAATATTATGCACAGGATACTAGGAGGGCTGGAGAAAAAACATAATTTGAACTAAGAAGTAATGGAGGGCTTCCCAGATTCCAAACCAGGTTCTAAAGGTTAAAAGGTGTTCCCAGCAACATGGAAGTATGAAATATAACTATACATATGGAAAAATTGCTCTTCATCTAGTGAAAGGACCTCAGAGAATAGTGGTAGGAAATAGGATTAAAGAAGCAAGCACAGCTAGATCATGAAGAATTTGGGGTGCTAAATTTATCCTGTGGGCAATAAGGGCTGTCACAGAATTTTAATCAAGGAAGTGATATAATCACATTTGCATTTAAAAAGCAATGGCCATGGGCTAAAGGCTAAATTTAAGTGAGATAGAGGGTAGAGCCAGGGAACCAGAGCAGCTAGTAACCCAAGCTAGAACTGCTAAAGCAGTTGACTTGGCTATAAAAGAGGAGGGAATGTGGGAGCTAAGACTCTACAAGCCATTTATAGCTATTAAGTGAGAATGAAAATAGACAAAATAATTTCAGATGACTCTTAAGTGTCTATCTTTTGTAGAACGATGGTGTCATTCCTAAGACAGGGACTGTGAGAGGATGAACATTTTTGGAGGAAAAATGAGCAGTTCAGTTTGGACATTGAATTTAGGCACCCATGAAATATAGGAGTAATCTCTAGACAGTTAGATGTGTAGTTCTGGAAATCAGAAGAGGATCTAGGCAGGGAGAAAAAAAAAACAACATTGACAACAGAGTTGATACTGAGTTTCCCGGATACTCACTATTAACAGAACATCTCCTTTCTGCTTTTATTTTGCCCTTCTTTTTCATTTCAGTGTTGTTTACTCTCTGACCCACAATCACTTTCAGTCATTGTACAATTAATCAAATATTGCTTCCTGTGGCCTCTACTATATACTAAAGCAAAAGAAAGTAAGAAAACTAATGAGATCAACCAATTTTAGTATAATCAATTTAGTAAATTTTTGTTGTATGTAAGAGAGCAGGTGTTCCACACAAGTTAACAATGCACTCTGAACATTAAGTTCTAAAATACGGTTTCATGTTTTCCTCCTCCTCAGAGTATTACCAAAAAGCATATTGCTTTATTTTATTGTTTATCAAATACCCATACTCAATAGTAAAATAGGGCTTCATGTGCTACTTGCTCTTTCCTATCTTTTCCAGAATAATTACCAAGGATAATCATTCATATATGCGATACAGAAACAGCCAAGATAGGACTTTGGAGATTCCTGAGACATCAGTTGCGACTTTGCATAACACCCATCTTTGGATGGGAATAACCATGGCTCTTTCCACTGTTTCAGGTTCAGAGATGAAGGTGTGGAGAATCTACCCCAAACTACAAATTATTTTGAATTGGACACACATGCTATGCATTTGTGGAAAGCCTAGCGTTTGGCACCTGTCACGTGTCCCATCAACAAATGTAGGAGAAAATGACTTTTCCCCCTTCAAGCCCTATGCTGCATAAAAACCATGATGACCATTCTTCTCTGGTATTATATTTTGTGGGAGGAGAAAGGTTCATTTCAAATTAATTTATGATCTGTGAAAAGTGCTAAAAACATGCTTCACTGCACTTAGAAGCATGGAATGCACCACTCCCTTATAAAATCCATTTAGGGGCGTTAAGGGCAGGATGATGCCCCCTGCTCCTGGGTCAGACTGCCAGCATGAGCTACTGGTGTCCCGAGCCATGGAATCAATTTAAGGAGTCCAACAGGCCTGTCACAGGGAGAGCCTTAGAAAGACAGCACTAAATGCCACTGCAGTATCTAAAGGCTGGGCCTAGAGGAATTTGAATCCACCAGCGGTAACACTTGGGCCAGTGCACATATGTTTTTTGAAAACAAAC